CTATACAACCAGAGGAGTCGCCCCCTGGTGGACACTCGAGAGAATGCGGGTATAAGACATGAAGCATCGGATTCACTTTTCAGAACCGGAGGTTGTCGCCTGGCTCAACAGTACATTTAAAAACAGATGAACAAAGACAGACTGGAGATGTTTTATCACAACAATCGCAAACATTTCAAGCGTCAGCAATGTAGCTTTCATAATTAACGCGTTTGTTCCACTAAATAGCCTGCACTAGTGTCTAAATAAATAGATAAAATAAATAAGTGACAAAAAAATGGTATTGAATTGCATTGTGACAAATGACGAATTCCTGGAGTTTGACCCACACTAGTGACTAACAGTCAGCATATGTTGGCCTCTGCTGCTTACATTTAGACAATTCCTTTTTTAAATTTGTCTCTTGCAAGTCCCACAACTATAAACGCAACGCTTTGTAGCTGGAGAGCCTCTTCAGCTCAGTGCTGACCGTGCAGTTCGGCTCACAGCGTCCCTAAAACTAACGACAGTCGTTTGCATCGCTGCAATTCTGTGAAGACGTTTCCAAATGTCTCTCTAGTCTTCAGATTCTCTTCTCTCTTTCTGTCCTTTTGTATTGTTGCGTTTATTGTTTTCCTGGCAGCGATTCTCCAGCTGCAACCGATAACAGCTGCAGACAGTCAGACCGCCCAGAAAATAACTGTGTGTGTGTGTGTGTGTGTGTGTGTGTGTGTGTGTGTGTGTGTGTGTGAGACATGTAAATTGCAGCCGGTGCTGTAATAAAGACGGTCCAAGTGGTCCATTAACCTTGTGGCGTTTCATAAACCCGTCTGCTGTTAACTGCAGTGAACTCTGAACTCTGAAGGTTTATCATCCAGAGAAACGAGCTTCAGGAACGTTGGAGGAACGTTTGTGAAGCTCGTCAGTTGTGATTTACTGAAGATTCTTCTTCTGTAGCAAAACTACAGAGTCAAAGTACTCTGTTACAAGTACAAGTCCTGCATTCACAATGTGGCTTAAAGTGACTCTGAGGAACTTTGATCTGGTCCTGAACCAGTCTCAGTGTAGTCCTGATCCTCTATCAGAACTCCATCAGTAGAGAGACCATCAGAGAGAAGATGGTCTGTTTCTATAGAGTTATTCTTGATGCTCGTCATCGGAGCCACCGGGTCGGATTCTGGTGAAACCAGATGAACTCATGCAGGTTCACCAGAACCTCCTTCAGCTCAGACTCCAGCAGAGACCGGTCCACCGTGAACAGACCCAGGTTCTCCAGCAGAGACCGGTCCACCGTGGACAGACCCAGATCCTCTAGCAGAGACCGGTCCACCGTGGACAGACCCAGATCCTCCAGCAGAGACTGGTCCACCGTGGACAGACCCAGATCCTCCAGCAGAGACCGGTCCACCGTGGGCAGACCCAGATCCTCCAACAGAGATCGGTCCACCGTGAACAGACCCAGGTCCTCCAGCAGAGACCGGTCCACCGTGGGCAGACTCAGATCCTCCAACAGAGACCGGTCCACCGTGAACAGACCCAGGTCCTCCAGCAGAGACCGGTCCACCGTGGACAGACCCAGGTCTGGCTTCTTCTTACAGTAACGTCAACTACAAAATACTAAAGTCAAGTACAAGTACCTCAAAATTGTACTTACGTAAAGTACTTGAGTAAATGTACTTAGTTATATTCCACCACTGCAATCAAATGTGCAAACATGTACAAACAGATTCTCTTTCTCTCCTTTGAATCATCTAAAGAATAACTAAATGTTTCGGAGGACGATACTTACGTGGTTACAGTCAGGAGAGATCTCAGATTCCTGCAGAGACGAGAGAGAAAGAGGTCAACGGTCACACTCGGGTCAAGGATGTAATGCTAGAAAATAGGAAAAAAACGCCGAGGGAGGGATGGGGGGGGGACACTTTTGCAAAGCACCGTATGTGTGCCACACATGTGACACATTAAAGAGAGACACACAAACACTTAACATATGGTCCTCCCACACAGGACAACAGCCCTTCGTATATCACATATGAACAAAGCAGCAGCAGCTCTTCAGACTCTCCCACAACATCCTCGACTATCAGAGGAAAACGCAGCAGAGAAGCTTCTCTTACAGCTTCACACCACTTTGCAGTAAAACATAAATAAAAAAGACATGAAAGCTCGGCCCACGGGGACAGAGACAAACAGAGACACTGGTTTTATAAACCGTCGTTTCCACTCAAAGTTTCAGAGGCAGAGGAACAAATGTAATGAGGAAACGGACCCTCAGCGGCCTCCAGGATTAGAATTACCAAATTAGTGAAACTATGAGTTATTGATTAACGAAGGCGCTGTTCCATCCACATCAAAAGGCTTCTGAAAGGAGATTAATGGAGAGGACGGATCAAAGCGGTAACAGAGGCTAATTGTGTCTGGGTAATGGGTGGGAGTAACGTGACAAAATATCACAAAGAAGCTAATGTGATACGCTGAGAAGTCGGCAGTGTGAGACCAAACCTCTGCACGTTTAAGCCAACAAAAGCTGTATTGTAGATTTACTCTGGCCGTCTCGCCGGTTGAACAAAATGTCTTTGTGGTCCGCGGCACCAGAACCGTACCATCTGGGAATACAAGTGACTTTATAAATGACTATATGTAAAGTGAAAATGAGCTACTGTCATCCATCTTTAGCCCCTTTTTAGCTCATCGGTTGGGTTATTTTACGGCACATTTGCTGGTTTGTTTCAGTCTCAGCGCGCTTATAAACCAACAGAACGCTTCCTGCTGCAGCAGACAGCAGACAGACACAGTTAAGAGACCAGCTGGTGAACAAAGTGGAGCATTTAGCAGCCAAAGAGACTCAAGAGTTGGTGGAGAACAAACAAAGAGCTAACCAGACAGGTGCACTTCCGCCAGGTGTGTCTGCAGCTACCACTGCAGTATTTGATTGAAAGAATACAGCCCACACGTCTACCCACGTCTAGACACCAGTGGGCTGTAAGGCGTCGTAACACACACTTTATTCAAAATCAAGAACAAAGCAGTGACGTATGCAGGCAATCGGCTCGAAGACGTCGTATAAGACTCAAGTGGTTGCGTTAGATTTTCTTTTGTAGTGAATCAACGGATCATAAAACTCACGGTTTCGGATCGGATCACGGATCAGAGTCACAGACCGGATCAGCACAAAAGATACAAATTGTGATTAGTGATCCATATTTGCAGATACAGATTCCTTTTGTTGTTTCATTATAGCAGCTGGTCTACAAGGCTGCAGAGTATTTATTTATTTTTTGGACACTACCGGCCGGTTCAGGGTGGTGAGTGAGCAGTCAGCAGGCAGTCAATGGTAGTATAAAAACCAGAAAATAAAAGTTGTTTAAAGAAAGTGCGAGTCCTTGAGCGTGCAGCCATAACTGGACAGTTTGCTGCAGCACAATGAGCGGTTAACCGTGGACGGACACAGAGGTGCACAGTCACTCATGCACACATGTAGCCGATAGCATAATCCTCCCGGTGGAGATAATAATAATGTAACCGTAATGGTTTGCATGGTGCCGTTTTGGTAAAATAACACTGTACTGAAATTAATAAAAGGCCGAAGACTGATAATTATTACCAAAGGAAAAAGTATTATTGGAACAAAAGATTCGGCTTTAAAACATTATTTTTTTATTTGTTGACAAATTCATAAACTAATACATTTCCTCTTTCTCGTTTTCATGTGTCATTTACTTATCGTATATTTGTTCTTATTTCTGTCTTTGTGCCGCTCTGTCTCGTCTCATCTTACATCAGTGTGATGTCCATGATGTCACAGGCCTGTTGGCGCTGAGGCAAAGTGACTTCCTGTCCAGCAGTTCGTTTATAACCATCCTCAGGGCACAAACCAGCACAAATAAATACTCAAACTGAACTGAAACCGAACGCTGCTTTACTGCCAGTTAGCTGCCGCTGGGCTGTGTGTGTGTGTGTGTGTGTGTGTGTGTGTGTGTGTCTTTCCCTGGAGAAGAGGCAGATTTATAAGAGCCATTTACCTCTTCAGGAGGCCACAGCTGTTCATAGAGTTGAAGCGATGTAATTATCTCAGTAAAGAGGGCATCGCTCAAAGGCCGCTGGAGGAGTGTGTGTGTGTGTGTGTGTGTGTGTGTGTGTGTGTGTGTGGGGGTGTTTGACGTCAGCATGGTGGATGTTTTTTCACAGACATCCCTTCGGTGTGTTTACGTCGGTAACACTTACACTTACGCATTTATAAGCAGTGAATTAAATCTGATTGGAGTGATGGTTCGAAGGGAAATAAATTTAAACATAAATTCAAATAGATTATCTTTCAATTAAAATATTTCAATGTTTCAGATTTTGTGGCGTCTAAGACCGCGTTTAACAACAGCAGAACGACATCACAACATCCACTCTGACACAACTGGTGAGTTATCCAAGTCTCATGTATCCAGTCGAATGTTTACCACTTCACTTAAGTTAGGTTTAGTAAAAGATCGTTAAATACTTAGTTAGGTTTGAGAAAAGATTGTTAAATACTTTGTTAGGTTAAATAAAAGATAGCGAAATACTTAGTTAGGTTTAGTAAAAGATCGTGAAATACTTAGTTAGGTTTGAGAAAAGATCGTTAAATACTTAGGTTTAATAAAATATCGTTAAATACTTAGTTAGGTTTGAGAAAAGATCGTTAAATACTTAGTTAGGTTTGAGAAAAGATCGTTAAATACTTAGTTAGGTTTGAGAAAAGATCGTTAAATACTTAGTTAGGTTTAGTAAAAGATCGTGAAATACTTAGTTAGGTTTAATAAAAGATCGTTAAATACTTCGTTAGGTTTAGGCAACTGAATTACTTTGGTTTAGTGAAGATCGTAAAATGGTTTGCGTTAAAATAAAAAGTGGCGTTACTTAGGTACGGAGGTTACATGACAAACGAATCAACGTTTTACTCGTTTCACACAGCAGTCTTCTGGCTGAAAGAGCATTCTCTGTTTGTTCATTAAAAAAATGACTAATCAACTAAACTAATCGACAAAAAACCAAAACAACCAATTAGTCCACTAATCACATTAGAGAGGGCAGCTCTATATGTATTTTTGCTGAAATAAAAAAACGTTTGCATAAACCGAACTGGCACGGATGAAACTCTTTATTCATCAAGACTTTTCACTGTTTTTGATTCTTCGTTCACCACGAGGCATGAAAAAGATTACAGGGTGATTAACTGGTATATATATCAATTATATATATAATATATATATAATTGATATTTATCCGTCACACAAAAAAATATTTGTTTTGATTTTTCAATCACAAAGAGAAGCAGGAAGTCATCACCCTGTTGGTCACCTGACAGCTGGAGGGCTTGCTCCTCCGTCAGGTTGATTATTACCTTGCTGAGTCTGCAGCCGAGGAGGGAAAACCTCAAACCACATGAAACCTTTCCCTCCACAACAATAGTTCGGTGTTAAGGTGCTTTTTTAAACAGGTGGCGGTTTCTAGTACATAAGCCTGCAACTTCCGTCGATTTTCATTATAGATCAATGCATTTTGTTGCAACTATACAATTAGATATTTAATTTATAAAATGTCAAAAACCATCACGAGTTCCCAGAGACACTCAGTTTATGATTATAAACCTTCACCTGATTTATTTTATCCTGGCAGTGCAGACTTTAACAGAGACTGAGTAAATGAACTATGAAAAATACAAATAATTAACTAAATGTTCAGGGGCCATTGGGGGGGGAGACTAAATCTGAACTGCAGCTTGTTGATGCCAGGGTCTTTAAATAACATCTAAACCTAAGATGTTAAATAAATAAATAAGTCAGCAGCTCAGCAGTGAAACAGCACTATATTTAGTTTATAAGTCAAACTCTCCTAAACGTCTGTAATTACTTTGTTTATAAAGCGTTGATCTGACTCCAATAATGCATCATATAGTGGAGCCGGTTCTGCTGCAGGTAAAAAACAATGTTTTGCAAAGTTACAAAAATAAATATTAAAAAAACCTGCAGATATTTGTAAAAGTGTGAACACTTACTCATAATGATTTGTACCATTTGCACATTTAGTATAAATAAAATATTTGTAGCTTCTGGAGGAATTAAATCAAGAGGAGAACGTGGATTTGTATAGTGCCCTAAATCAATCTGCGTGTGTGTGTGCGCGTGCGTGTGTGTGTGTGTGCGCGCGTGTGTGTGTGCGTGTGTGTGCGTGTGTGCGTGTGTGTGTGTGTGCGCGAGTGTGTGTGTGTGTGTGTGTGTGCGCGCGCGTGTGTGTGTGTGTGTGTGTGTGTGTGTGTGTGTGAGTGACGCAGGTGTGGATGTTCACATCTGCACCAGTGTCCCGCTGTGTGGATGTAAACCACCGGTGCGACACACCCAGCAGATGCCCATCACCTCACCGCTGCGCACCCCGCTAGTTCACTCACCCGGGCGGCCGCTTACCTCTCTGCGGTCCTGCAGGCACTCCAGCACGGCCAGGTTGTTGGTCCAGGTGTGCTTGGGACAGAGGCGGGACAGGTCCTCCCGGCAGGCCTCCTCCTCCGACAGCTTCCAAGCGGTCGCCCTTCGAGGCTGAGAGGCCCCAGCGACGCCAGCAGCAGCAGCATCGGCGGAGGAGGAGGCGGCGGCGGCGGCGGCTGCGGCGGCAGGTGCATCCTTGGCCGGGGGATCCGCGGCTCTGAGGCCGGTTGGAGAGTTGGGCGGCTCGGCCGGGCCGCCGGCAGCCTTCGAGCCGAGGACGGAGCCGAAGCAGCCGCAGAGACACACGGACGTCAACAGCAGCGGCAGCAGCTGAGAGTAACTGTATGCCGCCATCTTCGCACCACTGACAAGCTGGTACTGATGATGAGGCTGCATCACTTCCGGTCAGAGAGTTCACAATAAAAGCCTTTTGTCCAGAAGAAATATTCAACTTCCGGTCATTGTATTTAAACAATGTCTACCGATTATTTTAATTATTTACTCTAATGGATTGTAAGCTGGTATAAGTCATCTTAGTTTTAAGTAAAAGTTTCCTACCACTGTAATAACTAAATTATTTACCACCAATAAATAAAAAATCCTGCATTGAAAAATATTTTTACAAGCGAAGAAGAAAGACAAATAATACAGTAGGGTTTAACAGACTGTTCTGGATTCACAATTCCACCCTATCTTTTTATATATTTATATAATTTATTCATGTACAATAAGGCTATTTTGAACCGGAAAAGCTTTGTTTTATTTGTGTTTTGGTTTAGCTTCGACTTATTTTGCTCTTATTGTTTTATTTTCTTTACTTTTGTTTTGATGGTACAAATGTGAAATGTGGTTTATCGTAAAAGCTGAGAAAACTAGATTTGAAACTATACTGGAAGAGCATTAGTGTGTGTGTGTGTGTGTATGTGTGTGTGTGTGTGTGTGTGTGTGTGTGTGTGTGTGTGTGTGTGTGTGTGTGTGTGTGTGTGTGTCCTCCCCGTTTGAACAGCTGAGTAAAGGGGAACCAGTCAGCAATAAATCCTCCCAGTTTAGAGCTGACAGCTGTTGTGAGGATTCTTCTGGTTCATCACCAGCCAAACATCCATCCTGCTGTCAGAGTTAGTTATTTTATTTTGAAGGTATCTTATATTTGCTTTGACTATAAGTCACACATTTGTCTTATAATTGTTTTTTAACATATTGTTTTACAACTCTTTCCACGATGTGGTTATGCAGAAAGCGGTCCATGTCTCTGCAGATCCCGAACAATCGGGACCTCATCTCTGGAAAACAGTTTTTCTTTGTAGATGTCTTTATATTGACTGAATGAATCTCTGCTGAGTTCCCATTACATTCTGTTGAATGAATGAAACAAACAGATGAAAATGGAGCCGTCAGCTGTTCCAGACTTCAGCTGAGCTGACTCACAGGAAAACAAGCGACAGCAGAGAAATCCCTCCACGGTTCAGTTTGTCTCTGTTGAAGATCATCTTTTATTTTCTCAGATGTCAGACTTTGTGTTCCGATATCAGAGTTGATGGATGAATTATGTTCAGTCTATACTGGCTGAAGTATCAGTCGTCTCAGTAATTTCCTAAAACAGCTGGTCACTATAGTTTTTATTTATAGGAAACAGAAGGAAATAGCCATTTGTTGGGGGACTATTTTAAGCGGCGGATGAATCCTTATTTTCGGCAGCAGGATGGTGAATGTGAGCTCTATCAGGCTGTGATACACACACACACACACACACGCATTACTTATTAGAATATAATACTTTTAACCAGAACAACTTAAGATCAAACTAACCCTAAAGACTGAACGAAATACGTCATCAGGCTCCCTCATTGTCTGAGGATGCTTCCAGAAAAAAAAGATTCCTGAAGTGTTTGTTCCAGGCTCAGCTGCTGCCGTTGACCCCTCGGTCAGGAGTTCAACCGACAACTGCTGCTGGTCCACCTCACACGCACGCACACACACACACACACACACACACACACACACA